CCTAATCCAAGTAATGTTGCTTGCCAGAGATAGTAAAAGTGAACTGTTTTCTATATGTGAAGGGACATCTTTCCTTCCCTGGTTTTTCAGAATTTGGAACTTAACATAGCTTTTGGGAGAGTTCTGGAAATTATTATTCATCTTTACTCATAATTTTGTAAAAACCATCTGGTGGCTTCAGTAAAGCAGCATTTAATAATTTGTGGGAAATTGCCCTTTTGGATCACATTCTTCTGAAACAAGATAAATCTATCCACCCTAAAGATAACTCTGTAGACTTCCCACATAAAGGCCTCTTATACAATTGCATTCCAATATCATCTTTAAAAAGAAGATATACAATATCATTGTCTGTTTCTTTTCCTTTTTCAGGTTGGAGGAGGAGGTGTTAAAACCCGTTTGTTCAAACTTCATGTTATATCCATGTTGTGATAAATAAAACACAATCATACTTGTTTTATACTCAATGTTTACTTCCATTAAATTGTGATTTATGAGTATATACAAGGAATATACAGAGTTTTGAAAATAGTTTATAAGAAAGTATTCATTATAGTTTAAAAAGCCTATTTGCAAATCAGCATATAAGCATGAAACTGTATTAAATCAAGATGGGTTTGAAGTAGCTCATAAAACATTTTGCAGATTTAGTGTTTTCTATTGCTTCTGGAGTTGTTAGAGATAATATATATTACACTTAAATTTGTATAGACACACACACACAGACACACACAAAAAATGCTGAGGGTGGGTAATGTGTTGAGTAATGTGTTCTTTGACAGAGATGTGAGTAATTTGATCAATAAAATTTATCATAGCATTTAGCTCAACTCTATTCAGGGCAATAATTTGGGTGGTAAAACAAGCCACTTTGGATCATTTTTTTTTAACCTGCCACGTGCATTTGTGATTGTGGAAAAAAATTGTAGGAATGTTGTATATACTTTCTTGAGCTTTAGAGAAAAGGCAATGTCAGGCTTGGAAGCCATTGAGAGGGGGGGAGGGAATAGGGCCTCAAGCCTGCCACATATTCAAACATAGTTACTGTTCTGTCCCCCCTTCTTCGCTCGTTAACAGAGGACAGTCAGACAGACTTAAAAGGAAAGAACTTTATCAGCCTCGGCTCACGCTGGCTGCGAGCCCAAAAATAAAGTCTCTGGCAAGAAGATAACAGAATGCAAAAACAAAGATCTCTTACAAAGCAATTCACTTCTCTAAGCGTCTCTTTGAATCAGGGTTACAGAAAGCAAATCACTTCTCCAAGTGTCTCTCACAAACCACGACCGATGATCAATGAACCATGAACGAACGTTGACTTCTGCAACCAGGGCGTGGCACCATCAGTTTTTTTATCTCCAGAAGACCACACTAACGAGCCCCAGCTGCATTGTTATTCCTTCATCCCGACTCAACTCACAGCAAACATCTGCTGAGTCACAACAAGTTACTATGGGAAACTGGGAGGGGGGATGGTATGGAGCTTTGGAGATGTGTAGCCATAACAACATTCCTTCTTAGAAAGTCAAGGTCGCCTTATCCCTGCATCTGGATGGATGTGGATGGGAGGAATCTTCATTCAC